AGGGGGGTTGGAACTGGGTGATCTTGAAGGTCCCTTCCAACCTTAACAATTCTGGGATTCTGTGGAATGAGGAACAACATGGAATGAGGGATTTTGCCCTGTGGGTCTGTGAGCCTGGAGGTGTGTTCATGACTGGGGCTTGCAGGGGGATGCAGGGAAGCACCAGCTGTGGGACTGCCCAGGGCAGTGGTGGGACAGGAGGTACCTGGGGGACACATCTCAAAATAATGTGTCTTCAGCCTGATTTATAGGATGAAATAAACTTGGTTTTATCAGCAGCAGCAGTAAAATCACTCAGCAATGTCTGCCTGACCCCTAGGATGGACAACAGACACATCCAAAGGGATTTTTCTTCTGGAAACACAGGAACCAGGCCTGATTGAGAAGGAACAGAGCCAGGAGTTGGCAACTCCCTAGCACTCAGAGCCCTGAATTCCTTGGTGTCCTGTGAGCACTGGGTATGGGCACCAAGCTGCTGGTCACCCTGAACCTTCTCACCTTGCTGCTCTTGGCACCCTTCCTTCCTTTTTTGGGTTTGTCCCTCTTCTCTCCATCCACAGCCAGCCTGAGGTCCTCCAGCTTCTGCCGCATCAGCTCCCCAACCTGGCCAGACACACACAGTTGGATGTTGTTCTTCTTAAGCCTCCTGCTCTGCCCCCACCCCTCAGCCAACCAAGAAGAGAGAGGAGTGACTCTGGAAGGAGCCCAGGTCCAAGCCAGGGTCAGTTCTTGCAGCTCCAGAGATACACAGACATATTATCAGTGTCCTCTTCAACCCACCTGCAATCTCAGCTCTTCTTCCACATCTTCCTCTTTCACCTCCTTGATCAGCTCTGGGTCATGATCCTGGAGGAAATCCCACTCCTGGTCTCTCTTCTGCCAAAAGGCTGAGACCCAAAAGGAGGAAAAAGAGGAAAAAAACCCCAGAAAAACATGTCACAGAAGGCATCAGTTTCTCCAGCTGCTTCTGGAGGAAAAAAAAAGAGGAGGTAGCTTTGATTCCATGAGGAGCTGGAGGCTCCAGGAACCCAGTTCAGAACCTGTTTGTGCTGGGATCTGTAGATCTTGAGGTGAACTCTTGAATCTCATCCCCTGGGAAACAGAATCCTGGCTGAAATTTCCACACCCCCCCCCCAGGGGCTGAGAGTCCAGGTGTGTGCAGAGCAGGGTGGCTTGTGAATTCCAGCACTGGAGATGGAGAGTGGGGGTTTTTAAAGGTATTTATCTTTTCATAGATTTTTTTTTTGGATCTGGGGATCAGAAAACCCAGATAATCCTGCAGGTTTTCCATTGTTCTTTTCTTTCCAGAACTGTTTGTTGCCATTTTTTTTAAAGCTGATTAGGGGGTTGTTAATGCAGGCAAACTAATTCTCTGAGGGCTGGCTCAGGCACCAGGTTTAGCTCCCTAATTTTAGAGGCTCTGGGATGCTGGGTGGTTCTTTTCTAGACTGACAAAATGTCTCCCAGGTTATTTTAAAAGGCAGGTCAGGAGGCTAAAGATGTTATATTTTCACTGCCTGCTGAAAAGAGCCTGGTATTGTATTCCAGGCAGCTCTGGGGGTTATTTTAGCCCCTCTGGGTGTGCTTGGACCATTTATATCACCTCTTCTAAAACAGTCCCTGCTCAGCTTGGGGCTGGTTTTGATGCCTCAGGGCTCAAAAGACAGAACTAAAAGTGTGTGTCTGGTCACTCCTCCTTTAGGTGAACTTCAGACACACTCCTGAGGGTCTTGGCATCTGGTGGAAACGTTTCCCAATCCAGATTCTTCACTCCAACAATGTTTCCAAGGTTTGCACACAAATAAATTTGAGCCTCTGTGCAAATGGTGACAATAACTGAATTATTTCCACCCAAGAATCAAGTCCTCAGTGTGGAAAGATCCAACTCAAGCCTCTTCTTTTGTTAATTAAAAACAATTCTAATTAAATGAAAGGCTCAAATTTAAAATTGAAGAAACTTCATTAGATTTGATTCTAGGAAAAAAAAAAGTACCGTGGCCAGATGAGATGTCAAATCATGATGAATAATTCATCTGAACAACCACTGTGGTAGCTGTGAAACCAGGGAGCCTCTATTCCCATCAAACTGACCTCTCTGGTGGTTTTATTCTGGGAAGAAATACTAATATTGAACTGGGAAGCAGTGGAAGGGCCCTGTGTTGAGGTTAGAGCCAGAGGTGAGCCCTGACACCTGAAGGAGAGGGGTTTTCACCCACGTTGTCCCTCCAGGCAGCCCAAACCAGGAGCACAACTTGGTGCTTGGTGCCTTTGTCAGCAGAATTCAGGAGGTTTTTCAGGTGAGGAACTTCACCTCTGCAGAGTGGGGAGCAGAAAAGAGAATGCAGCATGCAACAGCCAAAAAAACCCCAACACACTCTGGCAGCTTCCATCAAGCCCCTTGCTCACCCAAGGGCTTCAACCTGTCTGAGCTCTGGAGTCCAACCAGGCTGCTGACTTGGAGCTCATAGGCTCCTTGCATCATTTCCATCCTCACCCAGCCCAAGGGCTGGAGAAATGTAGGAGATCCTCCCTTCCCAAGCAGCACTTGATCTCCTCCCTGTCATGTCCCATCTCTTGGGCAGCTGCCCAGCTTGACCTGCTAGCAAGGCCACTCTGAACCAGCTGAACGTGGACATTCCAGCTGGAATTGTTCACTTCCCCCACTAACCTTTGTATTGGCTGTTTCCTTCCTCCAGGATGGAAAGGAAATTACTGGGAGCCATTCTCCAGCCTTCCTCCTCTTCCTACATCAGGGTGGGGAGGATGTGAAAAGAAAAACCAGCCTGTTAATAAGGAGCAACTTGGCAAGGACCAAAGGGTGGGGGTTTGCATGGGCTTGGGTCAAGACTTGGGGTTCATCTGGGGAACTTGCTCCATCAAGTAAATGACTAGGAAGGAATTCCTGACCTGTGGGTAATTCCAAGAGGTCAGAACCTCATTTTAATCTGTAATCAGAGAAGAAAATAATGATCTGGGTGTGTCTTGCAAAGCCAAATGGTTTTGGTTCAGCTTCATCAAAGGCTTTTTGAAGTTCTCCCACCAATGGTTCCTGAGACAGTTTAATGCCTCTGGAATCCCATCTTCTGATAGACAAACTGGTCAGGAAACCATGGGACCTTCTTCAGGTTTCCTCAGGAACCATTTTGACAAAGCCTCAGGGTTGAGGATTTGACCCCTGGAGCTTGAATTCCCAGTTATTCAAAATGATTCCTTAATACTTGGCAGGGAGGGGGGCACTTGGAGGGTCCCCCTTGGAGCTTTGGCAGATGCTCCCGTGAACGTCCTGAGCAAAATGATTCAACCATGATGTTTTCAGATGAAATGCTGATAATTGCTAACTTTCTTTTTTTAAAAAAAGGCTCAAAACCCCACCCCAGAGCAGCCTAAAAACGAGCCATTAATTTTCAGCACATTAATTTGGAGCAGATGAAGCTGCTTCTGGAATCCTTTTACATTCTCCCAACATTTTTCTGTCCAAAAAAGGGATTAGAAGGTGCTGAAGTTGTTATTTTTTCCCCCTCCTTAGGTGTGCAAGGGGAAATGAAACCAGCACCTCACAGGGAAAAGAAAATGAAAGGCTTTTGATATCAAATATGCCTTTTTAAAGATTATTATCAGGCTGGTCAGAAAACTGGCCTTTCCTTCTGGGCTTCAGCTCCTGTTTCCTTTCAGAGCTGAGGTGAGGACCAGGGTTGGTTCTGCCTCCATCCCTGGGCCTTACAGCCCACATGTCTTAAAATAACTGGCAGAACTTCCCCAAAGGCTTCTGGGCTGCTCTAAGAGATTCTTTTATGTCCCCCTCTCAGTGTCACAACCTTGGAAAGAATGTTCCCTTTGCTTGAACCTGAAAAAAGGGCTCATGATTTGCCCTGACAGGACTCGTGGTGGCTGAAGAGATGAGGGCACCACCAAGTTCTGAAGCTCTGGATGGTTATTCCAAAACCAGCTTGGTCTGAATGTCCCCAACTGGTTGAAAACACTATTGAACTGTCTGAGTATCTACCCTCCTTATATTAACTTGCAGTCAAAATGACATATCTGGCCTTGTGACCTCTCTAATGTCAATTAACTGCATCAGATGGACTTTGGGCTAAGTTTTCATCAACTCAGTGTCTTTACCTCAGGAGGTTTTCCTTTCTTCCCAGATTTTGGGGGGGTTTTGTCCTTCATTTTGTCCTTGGCTGCTTTGTCTTTGTTCTGAGCCATCTCCTCCTTGGCAGCCAGTTCTGCAGCCACCTGGAGGAAGAGGCAGAAGGTGAAGAGCTGGGCTAAGATTTTCCTGGGTCTCAGGCACGTGGTTATTTTTTTCATCTCTTATCTTCCCAGTCCTGGGGAAACCAGGAACACTGGCAGCACCAGGGGAAGAGGAGAAAATGAAACCAACCCCTTCAGCTGTGGCCTGGCCCATCATTTTTTTGGAAGGTATTTGTAAAATGTCCTGGGAGCAGCTTGTGCAGCTCCATGGCAGAGCCAGGGAAGGGCAGAGTTGGCAAAGGAGGAAGAAACATGGGATGTATCATCATGCAGCCCTGGGTTATATTTTATCCCCCCCCACATCTCCTGTAAAATGATTTTTCAACCCCCCTCATGCCTGGTTTTCCATCCAGTTCAACCTGGGAGCAACCACCTCACCCAGAGAAACTAACACAGCCAAGAAGTGGAGTCTTTGTCTCCTCAAAAGCCAAGGTCAAAACCCCCATTAACTTCACCAGGACCAGGATCTGACCATGTTGCCCAGGGTGAAACAAACCCAGTTGCCTGGGGGGGATTTTTAGGGAGTGAAACAACCTCTCTAGGCTTCTGATTTCCCTTTTTCTTTTGATGCCAAGAGAAAGCAGGAAGCCCAGGAAGGTGAGGAAGGACCACAGAGGTTCTGGCAGTTCAGCCACCACACCTGGGTCACTCAGGGGCCAAATCCTGCTCCTGTGGGCAGGGTTTCCTGGTTCTCCTGTCCCTGGGATGACTGGGGAGGGTGGGACTGGCTCCCAGTGCCCATCACCACCCCCTTTAATCACTTTCTCTTTGGCTCACCCAGTTAGTTGATCAGAGGGAGAGATAATCAGCCAGTCCTAGGGGCTGTGACAAATGATCTCACTGAAGGGACATGTTTAGTGAGGGTTCCTGCCCCAGTCCCAGCAGCAGAGGAAGGACAATACCTGCTCTGGAGTCTTTTGAGAAAAAAGAGCCAGGGAACCTCCTGCCTTTTCAGTGGGGTAGTCAGGAAACCTGCCCAAGATGTGCCTGTGGGAGAAACAACAAGGGGGAGGGGGGGAAAGGAGTGAGAATCCATCCTTTTTGAGTTGATCTCCAACTTCTCAATTTCCTTCACAATTTCCAGGGGGTGTGGGAAGCTGCTGAGGGGGCAATAAGATTTCCTGGCTAAGACATGGTCCTTCCAGCCCCCTCAAGAAGAGCTAAAGAGCTTTAAATAAGAATTAGAACCTTTCTTCTGACAAGGATGTTTTTCCTTCTCTTCACTTTTGCAGCTTTTTGGATTGTCCCAGTAAGACTTTCCCTCTGCTGGGCAGCATGAGGCAGGTTTTCTGTGCCAGAGCAACTCCTGACCCTCCAGAAAAATCCTTTCCAAGAGGATGGGGAACATTCCATTCAGGTGAAACTCCTCTTGAGAAGTGAACTCTGAGCAGATTGGCCTCCCAGTCTGCAGGGACAAAACACAGCTGTTGGTCTCCCTGCTCCAAAGTCCACTTTACATCTCCAGTTTTCCTTCTCCACTCATTTTTGGCAGCCTTGGTGGTGGAAATCCTTGTGTGGGCACAACTTGTGCTGTCAACCGTGTTGATAGGGAGAAGAGAAGGCAAGAAGCTTCAGCTCCTGGTCAAAAGAGGGCTGGGTGAGGAAGAAACCTCCAGCTTGTAAAACAAAGCCCCAAGGAAGCCTCCAGAGCTTCAGGGGCCACTCAAGGAGCTGAGGAGGGTTCTGGTGGATGAGCTCCTCCTGCCTCTGTCTTTGGGTGCCTTGCTTGTGTTGAGTTGACAGCTGGGAAAAGATCCTAGGGAGCAGAGCCAATAAATGGGGAATGTTCAGTGTTCCTGTGCTCAGAGGACACTGCTGAGGGAGAAGGGAACTTCAGAAATGGGGCTGAAATCCATGACTGTCCTGGAAGGCAGGGAATTCCTGCCCAGAAGGAAAGAGCTGGAGAGAAAAAACCACCTCCCTGTGCTGAACAGGGTCCCAAAATCTGAGTCAAAGCAGCTCAAGTGGGAAGAGCAAGAGGGAGGAGGGAAAAGACACCATCTCCCCCTCCTTAGCAAAGAGAAGCACCTGCTGAGAATCCTGAGCTGTTCCTCCAGCTCCATCTTCTAGTTCCCTGTCACCCCCTCCTTCCAAACCTCACCTAGAGCCATCAGCCCTCATGGGATCAGAATGGGTGTCTGGTGGCCTGGGCTGCCAACCCTGGGGGCTGCAGTGGTGGGGCAGAGTGGGGCTGTTCTGGGCTCTTTGTGTCCTGGCACACAAGGCACAGAGATCTCTGGGGTTCCAAGGGTTCCTGAACATCCCCCCCAGAGCTGGGAGGGGTCCCACCAACCTGGCAGGCTCTGCCAAGCCCTGAGGGCTGCAGAATGAGCCCCTTGTCTGAGGGATGAGCCTCATCCTGCCCCAGCTGCTGCCTCCCCCCTTCTCTTCCTCCTGGCAGGGGCAGCCCCACTTCTCCTCCTTGCTCAGGGGTGGTTGTAGTTGAGGCTAAATTGTTGATTTATGAGAAGATCCCATTGATTTCAACATTTTGCCTGGTAATAGACTCAACAAGTCACTGCCTCCTCTGTTTTACATCTGTTATTCTTTCTCTCCCTCTCTTTTTTTGGCCCTGACTTCTCCAGCTAATTGCACAAAAGGCCTTGTCAGGAGAAATAAAAAATGGTTCTGTGGAGGGGAAAGGGGAAAGAAAAAAAAGGGTTTAACTCTTTTTCAGGGTAAGAAAGGATGTGTGGAGAAAAAAAAAGGCTGTGGGCTCCAAGCAAGGGCCCAGCAGAGGGTTCTGGGAAGACAGGGAACACAAAGAGAGGTGGGGGGAGCATTTAAAGAAATCAAACCCCATTTTATTTCTGGAGTTCTTGCTTGTTTCTGCAATCCCAGCTGCCATGAGTGTCCCAGAGCTGGGTTAGTTTATTTTAGGTGCCTCTGTTGGAGCATTTCATCCCCTTGGTGTGGGTCTGCTTGCTTGGGCTCTTTTGGAAATGACTTCCAGAAAAAACAAGGCAGGCAAATATAGGGATGAGTTGGAAGGGAAGCTCAGTTTCCACAGGCTCTTTGTCACCTCTCATGGCTTTGTGGGCACAGGGATGTTACAACTTGGGTTTTATCTGAGGTCCTGATCCCTCCCAGGGTTGGGAGGATTAGGAACTTGATCCTTCTGGATAAAAACCTCAGCTTTAAAAGTCTGAAGATCAAGAGACCCAGGAAGAAAGATTCCCATGGAGGAAGGAGTGGGGAGGGTGTGGAGGGAAAGGTGGCATCTCCTCTTGCAGTAACCACCTGTATTTAGAAACCAGAGCTGGTTTTTGGGGTGCCCAGTGCCTGCCTTAGATCTGGGGTGATCTTCCAAGACAAGCAGCAGTTGGGAGCAGTTGTTGGAGAGGACAGACCTTGGTGGGGAAGGTGGTGATTCTCTCTGCTGGTTTCATTACATGTTCTGGGCCAGGAAGGGCAGATCTCTGGCTGAACAGGGGCAGTGGCCTTCAGCTTCTGGACTTCTTACACTGAAATGCTCTCTCCTGCCTTGCCAGCCAGTGATTTCACCTCACCAAGGGTCCTCCTGGTCTTTTAATTAGTGCATTAGTAGTTAGTAATTAGAGCTTTCTCTGCCAGGACTCTTGAACAAAAAAAATTGGTTTCATAGTTAAAATACTGGCTTAAAATAGAGAAAATATGGACAATATGGACAAACTGCAACACCAACTTGCCAGTATCAACCCTCACCAAATGTTCTGGGACTGGATTTTGTGTGTCCCTAAGGAAAAGGGATGAGCAGTTGGGCTCGATGATCCTGGAGGTCTTTTCCAAATGTATTTATTCTATTCCAGGAGCATCCTGTGTCGGGGGGGGTGGTGAAGCCCCACTTTGCTGGAGGGGCTGCCCCTAAAGGGGCCCTCAAAGTGTCCCCAGGCTCATTCCCAGCATTGAGGGGCTCCAGCCTTTTGAGGAACATGATCCTGTGGGTTCAGGGATCTTCCCTCTGGAGGAAAAATGTCCCTCAGAGCCCAGGGACTTGGCTGCTGGAGCAGTGAGTGCTGTGGAGTGTGCAGCTCTCATCACACTCTCCTCTGCTTGTGCTTCCTTCTGTCTTGACCTGTGGAGCCAGGTCAAGGTGACAAAAGCCAGGTCAAACACCAGGTGAAATTCCCCTTGACTTCTTCACCTTTGGGTCAGCTCACCATCCCAACTTCCCACCCCAACTGGCACGGTTTCCCTGGGCTTGGTACTTCAGCTGAAGAGAGTGCAGCAATTACGGGCAGTTTGCAGCCAGACTGCTGGAGGCCAGAGGAGAAGCTCCCAGCTTCCCTGCAGAGGCAGCCAGAAGGAATCAGAGTTCCTCATGAATTGCCTTCATTCATTACTGATAGTGGGTGGTATCTACCTTGACTTCAGCAAGGCTTTTGATGCTGTCTCCTGTAACATTCTTGTTAGGAAGCTCAGGAGAAGAGGGCTTGATGAGTGGGCAGTGAGGTGGCTGGAGAGCTGGTGTGTGACAGAACTCAAGAGGGTGGTGAACAATGGAGCAGGGTCAAGTTGGAGGCCAGTAACCAGTGGTGTTCACTGGTGACACCAAACTGGGGGGGGTGGTGATGCTCCCGAGGGCTGTGCTGTCCTTCAGCATCACCTGGACAGGCTGGAGAGCTGGGCAGAGAGGAACCTCATGAGGTTCAACAAGGGCAAGTGTAGGGTCCTGCACTTGGCGAGGAAGAACCCCAAGCACCAGTATAGGTTAAGGGTGGATCTGCTGGGAAGCAGTTCTGAGAAGGATCTGGGAGTCCTGGGAGGGAGTAAATGATCCATGAGCCAACAAAATGCCCTTGTCACCAAGAGGGTAAATGGAATCCTGGGGGGCATGAGGAAGAGTGTGGCCAGGAGGTGGAGGGAGGTCATTCTCCCCCTCTGCTCTGCCCTGGGGGGGCCACATCTGGAGAACTGGGACCAGTTCTGGGCTCCCCAGTTCAAGAGAGACAGGGAACTGCTGGAGAGAGTCCAGGGGAGGGTAACAAAGATGACAGTGGGGTTGGAGCATCTCCCTGATGAGGAAAGGCTGGGACAGCTGGGGCTGTTCAGCCTGGAGAAGAGAAGGTTGAGGGGAGACCTTATTCATGCATGTAAGTATGTGAGGGTGGGTGCAGGGAGGATGGAGCCAGACTCTGCTCAGCAGTGCCCAGGGACAGAAGGAGGGGCAATGGGCACAGACTGGAACATGGGAAGTGCCACTGAAATATGAGGCAAAACTTCTTCACAGGGAGGGTGATGGAGCCCTGGGACAGGCTGCCCAGGGGGGTTGGGGAGTCTCCTTCCCTGGAGATGTTCCAAACCCCTCCTGGATGCAGCCCTGGGGGACGTGCTCCAGGGGATCCTGCTGCAGTGGGAGAGCTGGGCTGGATGGTCTCTAGAGGTCCCTCCCAACTCCAGCAACTCTGTAATGAACACATCAATTCCTGCAAAGAGGAGAAGAAAGGCTCAGAGTTTGCAGCAGGGCCAAGCCTGGAGAAACAACCTGCCCTCCAGCACATCTCTGATCTGGAGTGCAAGGGAGCACAGGGCCTTACTGGGTTGGTGGAGGAGGAGCTGAAGCAACCAGTTGCCTGCTGGGAGGTCAAGGTGAAACCAAAGGGAAAGGAGGATGGGAACTGGGAATGGAAGCCTGGGATTGTTTTGCTGTCACTTCCACCTGAAGGGTTTGGGGAGGGCTGGGAAATGCTGCCCTGCACCTCCTGGAAAAATCCCCTGTGCTTTCCCAGGATTCTGCCCTCCCAACTGGTTCTCCACGTGCTGCATCTTTTTCTGCCACTGACTGAGAAAGGTCCCTGAGGTATTTTTGTCCTGGTTTGACCCAGGAAAACTGGCTTCATCCTGGCTCAGACCAGGACATCTCCCAAGTCTGGTGGGGAAGACAAACTTCCTTGGGAAGGAGGGGCTGCCAAGGGCAGGTGGTTTGTTCCTGAGCTGCCCCAAACCTGCTGCTCTGCTCCAGTTGATGCTCCCAGCCCTGCTCCCTTCCCCAGACCTGCCCCCCTCTG